AAACCTTCGATGTAACAAGAAAACCACAACATAATAACATAAAAGTAACATGAAAACAACCATAACAACATACAAAGTAACATGATAAAAACCATAACAATACAGAGAATAACAAACCTCAACATAAACAAAAATCAACAGGCACATAATGAATGAAAATAATTTCCATAGACTTCCTCTAAAAACTCAAGCCGATCGTTCAAGGAGTGCGAATTGAAGGCTAATAATCGTCATAAAAATCGTAAAAACACACCAAGCCTGAAAAATAGAAAATTATTAAAAATTGTCCCTACCGATTGAACCCAAAGATGCCCAGTCGTTGAGCCGTAACGACGACGAGCAGCCGGAGGTAGTAGATCCTTTTATGACGATTTTCCGCTAGGTGATTCTCAGCCGCGCTTTCGATCATCGGCGCTCATCTCGTGTCTGAAATAGCCAGCTTTCATCGGCTGCCGAAAACTAGAGTTCCTTCGGTCATTGTGGTTGCCTACCTCGCGTCGATGTGAAAGGCCGACTGTCGGGAACTTCCTCGATTTGTTGGATAAGGACGCGACTCGTCGTCGGATTTTGATTCTCGTGAAGGTCGCAGACCCGTCGTAGGTCGAGTTGTTCGCCTTCTCGCCGGGAAATTGGGGCTCAAGGTCGCTCAGGAATTTCGACCGGAAAGTCGCGGCTCAAGGCTGAATTACTGAGGAAATTGGATGAAAACTTACAGAAATTCTGATATGAAAATTGAGGAATGGCTGAGGATTCTTACTGCTTAAATATGAAGAATTAGGGCAAACAAATCGTAAACTCCGTGCAAATGAGGGAGCCAGAATTTTTTTTTGGGGGGTGAGGCCGAGAAAGAGGGACACCGTTTGGGATGAGATTCTTACTGCTTAAAAAAAAACTGATATTGGAGTATAAATGAAAATAAAAAAGAGTGTATTTGACTAAATAGTGAATGGGTACAGTTATGTAAAAAAAAAAAACAAAAGGTTAGGTGGCGTCAATATTTCGTTGGGACTGCTATGAATGGATGCTGGGCTAGATGTGTTAGGACTTGCAGCCAGATAGGTTCAACAGCCCAATTTTTTGGTGACTTTAAGCCCAAATCCGTTACCTAACGATCAGCTAAATGGACAGGTAATAGCCTTTTTTAGAGAACTTCCTGTGTGGCCATTCAATATTAAAATTGTTTAAACAATTTATCTGCAAATCTATACTTATATTAAAAGTCATACTATTTACCAAAAATAGTAGCAAAAAAATTCAACTCACATTTAATGCATACTTTATTTAGAAATTTTTTATTATATGCATTAATTGCTTGCATATATACATTTCCTATTCAAATATGATCATAAAGATTCTTTTCTTAAATAATTTTATTAACTTTTGCAATAATTTTACTAATATATATTATAATTCATCTTTATCGATAATATTTTTTAATTTTTATTTAAGTATATAAAAAACAAATATTTTTTAAAATTAATATTTTATTTATCATTTAAGAGAGATCACATTATTAAATGATATTACAGATGACTAGATAATAGATTAAAATACATTAATTATTTTTTAAAATTTTGGCATGTTATTTATTTGTATCTATACTTATTATATAATGTATCATATTTACCAAATTTAGTATTGAAAAGACAACGTAATTAATGCATTGCTATTTCTATACAGAATTTTATTTAATTATTTTATTTATTTGTCTTATATCCCATAAAATCAGTTTAAGAAAAAAAATTCCATAACATCTGACAAGTTAAAAAAAAGACGTAAAACCTTTACTAAAATAAAAAAGACTTTATTTATTTGTCTTATTCCATATTAACATCCACTAGTACAGATCCCGTGCGATGCACGGGGTGCACAAAATTAAGGCTATTTATCAAATCTTATAGTTATATAAATGAATAAAGAAAAATGTACCGGATATATAGTACGTGACCTATAATAGGCCAAAATGTGAACACGGGTGATGCACGTGTTGTACAATTTTAAGGTCATTCATTAGTACAGAGTCCGTGCGATGCACAAGGTGCACAATTTTCTAGTATGTGTAATACAAATACATA